GCTGGGGATCAGCTGACCTCGCGCTCTAGGAGGTGGAGGATGTCTCGCAGCTCGATCCTCCTCACCGCGTTGGACACGCTCGTGCCTCCTCCCGCTGACCCTCCAGCCCTTTCCGACTGGCAAACACACTCAACAATGAGCCGGCATGCTCGTCCAGCTACCGGCCAGGAGAGCTGTCTGGTTGGCCCAGGCTGTGAAAGTTCTGATCCTTCTTGCTCTGCTCGTGGTCAGCCGCGCGCCTTGCATGCAACAAGTTCACCTGCTCCTGCTTCTTCGACTCCTGGAGGAGGAGAAGGCGGAGGCGGAGAAGGAGGAGCAGCAGCGGGGGGGGGGGAGGAAGAGCAGCAGCAGCAGCAGCAGCAGCAGCAGCAGGGGGAGGACGAAGCAGGGGGAGGACGAAGAGCTGAACATGATATGTTGTAGGCGGCCATGCAGGCATTGCGCTCAAACTTCGGCACATCTGCGGGCTCAGCATAGCATTGCAGGCCCTCGGTGTGTGTGAGGGGTTCGCTGTTGGGTTTCTTCGTCCCGTTAGGCGCCTACCTGAGCTAACGCGTCCTCCCGGGCACCACAGCAGGTGTTGTCTGTTGATAAGGCCATGATCTAGACTTGATTCCCCAAACAGGGCGTCGCCTGTCGCTTGTAAGATTCATCCGCCACGAGAGATCGATGGTCGGCCGTTGTTTACTGACACAAGCTCGGGTTTCAACCCAGTGGTAAGGCCCCTGACCTGCATCATTTGTTTGCCGTCATGCATCCCGCAGAAAGCAAGTGATTTCATCAAGACCTACTGGCAGAAACATCCCGTGCTGCTGCGAAATGCCTTCCGATTCGAGTCCCCCGTTTCCCCAGACGAGCTCGCCGGCCTGGCTTGTGAGAAGGAGATTTTCTCCAGGATCGTCATCGAGTGGGGGGCGCTGAAAGGTAAAGGAGCTCCGCCAGACAAGCCTTCGTGGGAGATGCTGATGGGTGAGAAGACACGGAGACACATTTCGCATTTCGTTATGATGATGTGCAGGCCCTTTCGAGGAGGAGACCTTTGCGAGCCTTCCCGAGAGCCACTACACGTTGCTGGTCCAGGAAGTGAGCAAGCATGTCCCCGAGGTAGCAGAGTTGGGGAGCAAGTTTCAGGTGCCGCCCAGTCTTCTCCAAGCTGCAAGAGACTGACAACCAACCGCCCAGTTCATCCCTAGCTGGAGGATGGACGATGTCATGATCTCCTACGCAGCGGAGGGAGGTGGGGTTGGCCCGCATGTCGACAACTACGATGTTTTCCTGCTCCAAGGGAAAGGTAGCTCACGCCATCCATCCCAGGGATGATATGACGAAAACCCTTGCGACGGCAGGGAAGAGAAGATGGAGCATATCGGCAAAGACTCTTGCTCCCAAGGACGAGGTCCTGAAGGCTGGGCTGAACCTTCGGATCCTCGAAGGTTGTCTCCGAGATTATTTTCACATCCCCTCTCACCGCCAGATGTTTCAGGCACTTTTGTCAAGGATGAAGAATGGATCCTCGAGCCTGGTGGGCATGGACTGCGACTTGATCCGTCGATTGACCCTGTTCCGAACCATCAGGCGACATCCTCTACCTGCCTCCAAGGGTTCCGTGAGTTCTTCCCCACGCTTCCCTTCGGTGCCATGACGTTGGTAAAAGACATTGGGGAGTGTCCATGGATGATGAGTGCATGACGTACTCCATCGGCTTCCGAGCACCGAACATCCAGGTGCCACATCTTGTTGTCATGCTGGCATGACGCGGTCGGCAAGGACTTGGTCACGGAGTACTCTGCTCATGTCTCAGATCTCTTGGACCCTGATGAGTTCTATCAAGATCCTCACCTCAAACCGCCAGTGAGACCCAGCCGTTTCTAACAAACCCATCGTTTTCCTTCTTCTCCATCCTCCAGCTCCGATTTCACTCCAGCTGTTTAACTCGTCTTTGTTTGCAGGGAGCAGACGCTGCGCGCATCGATGAAGAATCTGTCTCGGATCTGTAAGTCTTCCAGGCATCGCCTGGATTCTGACCCCTCGTGAAACTCAGGTGGAGGCAAGTCGTTGGAGCGTTCTTTGGAGAGGATGCGGACAAATTCCCTCGTTCTTCTTCTGGCGAAGAGAAGTTCAAGAGGTAGTCAGGCAGCAGCTGTGTGCTGGAATGATGTCGAGCAGGTGGCTCGGGGGATACCTAACTCAACCAATGAGGATGCACGACGGAGGGGAGCCGGAGCAGATCGATAGGGAGGAAGCGGTGGCCATTGTCGACGATCTTCTCAGCGGCAACGAGGCCTGCCTGTTTCAAACTGAAGGTACTGTGGATTTTGGGAAGCCTCAACTCAACCGCAGCAGGGATGAAGTTTGTCTGGCTCGCCCTTAGTGACGGAGTCAGCATCTCCGCCAACGGGAAGGTTCAGTTGAACTGAAGGGTGTGCAGCAGAGGTTGACGAGCGTGACCAGAGCTGGGAGCTCCAGGTGGATGGGCAGTTGTCGCAAAAGGATTTGGGTGAGCTGTCTAAGAACATTGCCTTTGCCTTCCCCTCTTCGTTCCCTCCTCCTACTCCTCCTCTTCCTCTTGTTCCTCATGCTGCCTCCTCCGACCTTGCCCTGGCGATGTTGTTGAGTGAACTGCAGAGGAAGGGGCCAGGACAATATGCAACGAACGCAAATTGGATGCTGCAGTCCTTCGACGCTACCTCTCTGCTGATTCACCTTTCCGTGAGATCTCATTCCCAGCCATTGGCTTCACTTTGCCCCCCCCCCTTCTCCTTGCTCCCTCCCTCAATGCAGTCGCTCTAAACCTCTCCTCTCCTTACATCTCCCCTCCCCTCGACTCATCCTCTGTACTCCCCTGTTCTGAATGCTTCTGCTGCCTGCCCACCCCCCAACTTCTCCAACAAGCTTCTCCTGGGTAACGTTTCACAGGGAATGTCATCGAGGACCTCATCGAAGAAGGGTTGCTGTATTGCCCTGAGATGTAACACGACACACTTGTAACACAACAAATCCGTGAGACACCAAATCTGTGAGCATACTTGCGATCGAAACTTTACAAGAGGAGATGGGATCAATTCTCTATCCCATTCCAAGGTTGTTCATCGCAGACTGCTCGATCTTATTGCGCAGGTCACCTTCAAACATGTGTCAGCAGGAGCAACCTGCACTTTGATCCTCTACCTGGCATCGGGCGAAGCTCGTAGGCCGCAACCACGGGCTCCGTCTTGAGTTCGGTGAAGATCCCTTTGAACGCCAGGTAGGTTATCTTGGTCGTGTCGTCGCCATGGTTGGAGTCGATAAGCAGAGTGAGGATACGAACGCGGTTGAACTTGGACACTTTGAACATGTGTTCCGCGTCGGGGGGGTTGTCCCTCGCCAGCTCCCACGTCTGAAGCGCCGGCAGGTTGGACACGTTGTCAAAGTCGATGTCGTCTCTGTTGATGTATGCTTTGATCCTGCATGGCCCGCTGTCTCCTGCCCCTGATCCCAGGCTGAAGGCCTGCAGCAACCTGAGTCGCCATGTGCAAGGCAGGGGAGGGTCAGTAAGAAACCTTGAGCTTCACGCTGCCTGTGAAGGGGATATTGATTAGGATCTGCTCGTCAGCGTCGCTCTCCAGCCATCTGAGGATAGAGAAGCAGCTCGTTCAGTCACAGGGATCATTTGCATCCTGCTCCTGCTCCTGCTCCTGCTCCTGCTCCTGCTCCTGCTCCTGCTCCTGCTCCTGCTCCTGCTCCTCCTTTCGGTCACCTGGTGGTGTCGAACCTCTGATCGAAGGGTTTGATCGCATGAAGGATGCCGTGATCTGAGAGTGAGGTTTCAGAGCCCTTAAGGCTCCTCCCACCTCCCTCCTCCCTCCTCCCTCCTCGGATCTCACCAGGGGACGCGTTCAGTGCCCGCACGTTCACCGTATCGATGCTGTCGTACAACCACCTTCCACGTGCATCAGTTACCAGGGCTTCTCACAGGCTCGCTTCCTCCTCTTGCCTCTCATCAACTGATTCCAGCATATCCTTGTGCTCTTGTTCGCAATCATGGCCGTGCCCATGACCGTGCGAGTGGCCGTGGCCGTGCCCATCGCCATCGCCATGCATCTGGTAGTTCAAACCGCATCAAAAACAAATGCCTCTCAGTCTCGTCCCGATGGCGCTCGCACAACATGAGACATGATCGTCTGACATAATGCTTTCTCATCTTGAGGAACAGGAGGTGCGAGCTCATCGCTCCTCATCTTCTCCAGCTCCTCCCTCTCACACATCGTACACGTCGAGTGCTGTCAAGCTTTGTCCTGCTCGCCTCCCGTCACCTCCCCTCGTCTCCTCTAACTCCCACTTCATCCTTCCCTCCCCCACTGCCCCTCTTATCCCTCATAGTCTTCCTCCTCCTCTCTCCCGGCTCCTCCTCTCTTCCTCCCATGCCCCCGCCCCCCTTTCGCGCATTGGCCTGCATGCCGCCGCAGGGAATGCCTTGCTGTCTTTTTTGTAGGCAAGTGTATGAACTAATATTTTATTGCTGTCCTTTCAATTATAATAATGGCGTACTGAGGCGGATTGTAAATTTATCCAGGGATAGTGACATGGAGCGAACTTGGACATCGTAGGCGTGTCCTGTTGGAAGTCGAGAGGGGAGGAGGGAAGAGGGAGAGGAGGAGAGTCAGCAGAGAGGAGGAGACGGGAGGAGAAGACAGAACAGGACATGAGAGACGGGAAGGAGGAGGAGGGGGAGGGGAGGGGGAGGGGGTTGTGATGTGAGGTAGAGTGTAGGACCAGATGCGGCGAGGTAACAAGTTCTGCTCGAGTATCAGAAGAGAGCGAGGGAGGAGGAAGGAAGAAGATAGTCAAAGGAAGCTCTCAGCATCATGGCTCCGGCCCTGAGATAGTCAGCTCAGCATGCAGAGCAGGAGGAGAGGTCTGCTTCTCCCCTTGCAACTGCTCTCAAGTATCCTCCTCGTTTCCTCCATGTCGGCGACTCATCGTGCCGGCAATGGGGAGACGACAGGGATCTCGGTGGGGATCCTGACACAAGGGGCCTTCTGGAAGGGCCTGTTCCGTGACGCCGAGATCGTAGCATGGGGTAAGAGAAGCTGCAGCTCCGAACGTGACCTGAGCGCTGCCATGGTTGCAGGACTGAGCGCAAACAGGGGGAAGGACTCCAGCATCAGCACCTCCATCTTCTACACGAGGTGGTTCAAGGACGCAGAGGCCGGTGTGAGAGATGAAGGGACGTACAAGGCTGATGCCCTCGACGAAGGGGCCAGGGGGACTCTGCTGTTTGACCTGGCGGTGCCTGAGGGGACGGACATGAAGGGCTGGCTGGGATCGTTGGACGTCTTCATCTCCTTCGAGTCTCCCCTCCTCGCCATCTTCCAGCTCGCCGAGCGGCTGCGCGTCCGCAGGTCGATCCTCGTTCTCAACATCGACTGGTCCTGTGCCAAGGAGATCCGGCGGATCTCGGAGGTCCCGAACCTTCAGTTCTGGGTCAAGGGGCCGGGTAGCGAGCGAGCCATCAGGGAGGTGTTGGGAGGGGGAGATGTGAAGGAGGAGAGGGAGAGAGAGCAGGAGAGGGAGAGAGAGCAGGAGAGGGAGAGAGAGCGGGAGAGGGAGGAGGGAGCGAGATGTAGAACAATCGAGCGGGAGAAAGTTTTCAGGGTTCCCTGGACTATTCCTGATCCCATTGTCCAAGTGAGAGAGCCCAACGCTGCAGGAGGAGGAGGAGGCGGATCGCCGGTCACTTTCCTGATGATCGTGGGGATGGGAGGCGTGCAGAGCAGGAGGGGGGTCGATGTTGCGCTGAGGGCGTTCCACCGAGCGATGGAGCTGGTAAGAGGAGAGGAGGAGGATGGCGAGGAAGGAGAGGGAGGGAGATGTTGGAATGGAGAGAGGACAGGACAGGACAGGACAGGACAGGACAGGACAGGACAGGACAGGACAGGACAGGACAGGACAGGACAGGAGGAAAGCTGGGAGGGCGGGCGGACGGGCGGGTGGGGGAGATGGTGGCTGCGCGGGAAGGATGTAGCCAGAGGAGGGCAGAATGACAAGATTGATTTCTGTGGCAGGCTGGGGATAAACTGAATGCTCATTTCCTGCTGTCCTCCACTCTCTTTCCCTTCCCGGTTGACTCTCCTTGGACCGAAGGAAGAGAAAGAAGCGGCTGAAAGCTGCTGGTGCAGGTGGAGGAGCAGCTACTGGAACATACCAACGTGTCTGTCGTGTACCAGGTAACAGGGATAGAGGAGGAGGAGGAGGAGGAGGAGGAGGAGGAGGAGGAACAGCAGCAGCAGCAGCAGCAGGAAAGGGGGGGGGGGGAAGAGGTTTTGAAGGCCGAAAATCATGCTCTGCCAAGGTCCATGCAAGAGAAGAATTGTCGGAGCTCCTGGCTGAAGCAGATGCTGTGCTCTACCCCAGCAGGTCCTCTCTCCCCTCTCCTCTCTCCTCCCTCCTCTCTCCTCTCTCCTCCTCCCTCCTCCTCCTTTGCCTCCTCTCGTTCTCCCCCGTCTGTCTCATCCTTCATCGGAGTGTTTCAAGGTGGGAAGGGTTCGGCTTATCTATGATGGAGGCCCTCCATGCAGGTGTGTAGGAGGAGAGAAGGTGCGATGAGGGCAGGTCGGCAGCGTCGCCGTTGGTGGAGCCGAGCAAGCAAGCAGACTGTGACAGTTTGTACCAGGGGTTCCGGTTTTGGCCACGGACGGCTGGCCGATGAACGAAGTCGTGACGGACAACGTGAACGGATTGCTGCTGAAGGCAGCCTACATGGTCGCCTTGACTGCAACCTCCTCCTCCATCCTGCTTGTTCATTTTCGCTCCTCCTCCCTCCTCCCTCCCTCCCTCCCTCCCTCCCTCCCTCCTTCCTTCGCTTCCGTTCTTCTCGCCGTCCTCCCTCTTGCTGCTCCAATCCTTGTATCCGCTTCTCCTCCCCTTTCCCTGTCCTTGCTCGATCTCTGACGAACTGTTGTCCCAGGGAAACTTCTTTGCTGATGATCACAAGTGCACCATACAAGAGTTTGCTGAGGATTCATGCAAAGAGATGATGGTAGACGCGGCGACATGTCCTCGTTCAACTCATTCGCTCTTCACTCTTCTCCTCTCCTCTCCTCTCCTCTCCTCTCCTCTCCTCTCCTCTCCTCTCTTCCCTTCTGCTCCTCACACTCCCTCCTCCAGGGTCCACACTGGGAAGTAGACGTGGAGGACATGGCGCGTGCGATCGTGAGGTAGAGGAGGAGAAGCGAAGTCGAGGACGCGATCATGCCGCAGGTTCTCGACCGATGAGGAGCTGAGGAGGAGGCTGAGTGCTCCCCACCCGCACGTGCTGCTGTCTCGTCAGTTTGCGTTCATGAACACCATGTGAGGAGTGGCGAGGAGGGGAGGGGAGGGGAGGAGAGGGGGGGATAGGAAAGAGGAGGGAGAGGAGCTACTGGGAGGGTAGGGTTGGGCGGCGGCGGCGGCGGAGGAGGAGGAGGAGGAGGAGGAAGGGGAGGGAGAGCGGGAGGAGGTGCGTAAATTTGAGACAAGTGGTAGACAATCGCTGGTGAGGGAGGATCGTCGTCCTAGGAGCATCGTCCTCCACCTTCACACGGAGGCGAAATCGAATACAGTAGAGGCAGAGACGAAGCTTGTTGACAGGCTGCACGAGGGTCTGCAAGCTTTCGGGTTCGCAACAAGGAGGAGGAGTGAAGGTAAGTGGAGGTCTGCGAGGAGCGCGAGCCATGACGGAAGCTGTGAAGTTGGGGAGGAGGACGGCGCGTGCTCGGACCTCCTGCTTATCGTCGCGGCGCCTCCCTCCAACAAGGAGGACTGTGGTGCCCTGCTACGGAGCTTGACGACATGGACGAGGAGAGCAGAGGAGCAGCAGCGGGGAAGGAGAGGACCAGTAATCATGGTACAGTCGGGGGGAGGGGAGCGGGAGGGGTCGTGGGCCGACTGTGGTGGTCTTCACAACCATCTTGATGCCCTGTTCGTGGAGGAAAAGGCAAGAGCACAGGACGTCTGCTCCTTCTCTCTCCCCAACGTATCTGCTCCCCCTTCCCACCAAGTCGCGGAGCTTCTCGCACTCTCCTCGCTGCAGGTTTCAGCATGTGCAGGAGCAGGCAGGAGTGGTCAAAAGCATGACAGCAGCGAGATGGAAGACGAGGACGAGGACGATGAGCAGGAGCAGGAGCAGGAGCAGGAAAGAGTTTCAAGATTGCTCAGAGGCGTGGACGGGAGGGAACGGAGAGTCCAGAAAGCAGCCATTCTCAAGCTCCTTTCATGGAGGCTGTTCGATCAGGTGGTGGGCAAGTTGGATGAATTCTTCCTCAAGGAGGTTGGAAACGGAACAAGCTGGCATGTGTCGAGAAGAGAGTTGAAAATGCTGAGAGCGACAACCTCGTCGCTTCTCAGGTGATCTCACCTCAACTACCTCCTCCACTCCTCTCCTGTTCCCTCTTCTCCTGTCCCCCGCTCTCCCTTCCTCTCCTCGCTTCTCCTCCTCTTGCTCTCTTCTGTCCCCCACCCCCTCGTATCTCCCCCAACTCTTGACTCAGCTTCGATCAGGTCATGCAAGATGGAAGAAGCATCACGGCTCGAGGCTCTCACCTCTCGCATCGTGCCCCGTCAGCTCTCCCCCTGCGCTCTGTCTCTGCTGCAAGACCACGCGATGGTCCAGACATTCTTTTTCCGGCTCCAGGTGAGGATAATCTTCCTTCTCCTTCTCCTTCTCCTCCTCCTCCTCCTCCTCCTCCTCCTCCTCCTCCTCCTCCTCCTCCTCCTCCTTTCCTCCCTCCTCCTCCTCCTTCATGTCGTCCTCGCCCTCCTCGTCCTCGTCCCCGTGATTCTCTCCCCTTCGCCCTCCTCCCCCACCACCTCCTCCTCTGCCTGCAGTAACTAGGAACGAGCAGCGGACCTTGGGCCCGACGTGTATCAGAAGACTCCAGCAGGTCTGGAGCAGGAAGCGTCTTTCCCGTCCCAGCATCGCAGAGATTCTCTGTCGCGAGTACACTGAGTGAGGCCCGGCGGATGGCACGGCGGTGCACGGCAAATCAACTTAAAAGTTAACTAGTAACTTAGTAATAGCGCTGCCGCGCTGGCGGCTTTCTGAGGCGGAGTGAACACTGACAGTATTGAGCCCTTTTTCAGCAGCAATCTCTCATCTCTTTTACTCAAGCGACAGCCCTGACTCAGGCTTGAATCGAGCCTGCCAGCCTGTGAGTCACGCTTGGCCCGGCCCCCGGGGCCTCGGCGGAGGCCGCGAGTCTCAGCCGAATTCTTACTAGTGCTAGCAGCCCTCTGAAATCTTACTAGCAGCCCTCTGAAATCTTACTAGAAGCCCTCTGAAATCTTACTAGCAGCTCTCTGAAATTGTACTGGCAGCTCTCTGAAATTGTACTAGCAGCCCTCTGAAATTTTACTAGTAGGACCTCGAATTGAGTTCCGGGGCGGATCTTCGACAAAGAGGTGCCAGTTTATAAGTACCACCCCACCTACTCCCGGTGTACCGTTTTCCTTGCCAAGTTGGTAGTCCTGGATGCTGAGTCAAATCGAGGGGTACAAGAGAGTCAGTAACGGGGTAGGGGTCGTACTTTTGGTCTAGTGTAGGGTGCTGCACTTTGTTTCATGGGGTGCTTCTCGAACTACCCTACCCCCACTCTTTCCCAGAAAATTCACCGGTACTACAATTGCTCCTGCAACTTCTGGTCCCCTTCTACCGGTAGTACTGAGTACCCCATATTTTATCACAAAATACCCCACCAAGTTCCCTTTCAAGGGGCGGTCGCATCTGAAGTTTTGGAAAGGAAGGGTAGGTCATGTACCCCTACCCCCTGTTTCTAGCACCCGATACCCAGCAGGTTCCATCTTGTCGTCCGATCCATGCAGCGACACGCAGCGGTGATGGGCGCGGCGGGCGCGTTGGGAACGACGATGATGAAAACCCTGCGAGCCAGAGGATGGCGGGTCGTAGGTATCGACAGCAAGCAGGTCGTTGATGGCTTGAGAAGGCCGCCTGTGGGCATGGAGGCTGGAGTCATGTGGAATGTAGTGGTACCAACCAACGGGTCGAATCCGTCGGAGCAAAAGAAGCATGTTCTCGGAGAAATGAAGTTGATGGGGTTCGGAAACGAAGAAGGGCAGAAAAAGCTCGATGCCGTGTTGTGCTTCAATGGCGGGTTTGCGATGGGTAACGCCTCGGTGAGCCTGACGTAGCAGTAGCAAGTTGCAACCTCCGATCGCATGCCCCCTCTTGCATGCAGGAGGCAGGATTCCTCCCTCCAGCATCCCGTATCAAGGACTTGTCTTGTTGCTGAACACTTTCCTTTCTTCAGTGCGACGATCTCCTGGTGTCCGTGGAGAAGATGTACGGATCCATCCTTGTGCCGTCCTTCCTCGGAGCCAGTCTCGCGGCCACCTTCATGCGCCCCGGTGCCCTCTCCCCTACTCCCCTTCCGCCCCACCCATCCAACAACCCATTCCCTCCCCTTTCTTCCCATTTCACCTAACGTTGAGGCCACGTGTGATGAATCCTCTTGCTCAGGCTCTCTCTTCCTCCTGTCCGGAGCCCTTGCTGGAGGAAACGTCCCGACCCCTCGGATCCTCGCTTACGGCAGCGCCAAGGCTGCTGTCCATCACCTGGTGAGGAGCCTCAGCCACGAGACCTCGGGCCTGCCCGACGGAACTAAGGTGAGCGAGAAAGACTATCTCCTCCTCTTCCCTCCTCCGCCTTCTTGTCTGCCTATCGGGCCTGCAAGCGTCTTTGATGACGTCGCCGGCAGGTGATTGGGATCGCGCCGGACATCCTCGACACTGAGACGAACCGAGTCTCCATGCCCAACACTCCGCGAGATAACTGGACGCCGTTGGGCGACCTGGCCAACAAGGTCTGCGACTGGGCCGAGAGTCCTCAAATGTGCACTTCCGGAACCATCTACAAGGTGATCACATCCCCCTCGGGTACGACCTACGATGCCTTGTGAACAGCAACAGACATTCATGGACAGGGCAAGTGGGGGGAAGGAGGAAGGAGGATGAGGTTTGAGGACAAGGTAGAATCGTCGGAGCTATTGCACAGGGCCGTTGCGGATCCAGTAGTTGGCTGCCCACTTCTCGCCCACGATAGGGTCGCAACCGCCGTGCAGGCTGGTGTGATCGAGCTCCCCGTGTGTGTGGCCGTGAGGCTTCATGAGGTAGAAGATGACCTGCGTGAGATGGTGTGACTATACAACAAGTAAAGGATGAAAACACTCGGCTAACCGCGCTCCCCCGCACCGGCTTGACTTTGATGCTCGACTCCACTGCGTTCTCGCAGGGTCCTGCGCACACCAGTCAGCATCTCTGCCAGCTCCCGGCACCTGCTGGCCCACCCCAACTTTGAATCTTGTGATGCTCTTCCGCAGAGGTGTTGCCGAAGGGAAAGATAGTTTCTCCTCCCTTCTCCACAGATGTCAGGTAGAAGAAGACTGTCACCAGCCTGTTGTGGCCGCTGCTCCACCGCTTGTCACCTGGAAAACGATATCAGTGATCGCCGTGGCAAGTCCAGGGCTGCACACCTGGATACATCTTGGGGTCGAAGAAGTCGTAATGCACATGGTAGTGCTGCTTGAAGGTGTACTTGAGGACCTGCATGTCCTCCGCGTACGACATCGGGATGCGGATGAGCTCCTCCACCCTCTGACGAATCTTTGCGACGATCGGAACCTTCTTGTCCATGAGCCAGGCTGTCTCGGACGTTCGGACTTCGTCTTTCACTTTCTCTTCCCCGTTGGATTGGTCCCCTTGCTTCAGCACCGTCGATGGTGCAAGGAGCGGTGTCGCGGTCTTGATGATCTCCTCGCACTCCTCGGCGCTAAGGAAGTTTTCCACCACGAACAGACGGGGGGTGGAGGACAGGCGCTTGACCTCCACGGTCCTAGAGGAAGGAGGTAGGGGGACTACAAACTTCTCGCCTGACACCATGAGGAGGGTCAGGAACGTCTCAGCAGGTCCCTGGACTCTCAACGGAAGGGATGAGACCTGGAATGTCTGAGGGGTAGAAGAAGATCTCGTTGTCTACGAGGATGAATGCCTTGCTGGGCAGGCCCGAGAAAGACTTGACAATGCTGCCCTCTCGCGTCCGAATGATCAATTTGTCGTGGACTTCGGCTGACTTGACGATCGCTAGCTGTTGTCGAGGGTGAGCTCACAACGATATCAGTCAGAGGGACAGCTCACCGCTTTGATGATGTCTTGCACAAACGCATTCCATGAGGCAACTTTTGGATTCACCTGCCAAACGTTTTACCAGGACATGCTACTTGAAGCTCCCCCTCCGATCACCTCCATGGTCAAGGTAGGTTTCTCCATCATGCTCTCCCAGATCCTGTAAAACCGATAGATCTTCTTGTTCTTGCTCGAGGCAGACAACGAGAAGGTGCTGTTTCCTGTAAGCAAGCTTGACAAAAGTACGGTTGGAAACAAAACTCTCACCATAGTTGCGGAAGATCTGTTCCGACGATAATCTTGGGGGATGAATCAGGTGCTCTGGAAGCTTGTCAAGTCTTGTTTCTCGTATCAGGTCTATCTCTCGCAGGACACGGCCAGCTGTCATGCGCCAAGTCATCAGCTCCACGTTCAAGGAGCTCCTCAAGAACCTTTCTCGCCGGGTATGTCCAATTTCGATGTGATAATGTCTTCTGTCAACATGAAAAGCATCTGTATTGATGTGAAACTGAAGTTTCGGCTATTCACATGAACCTTTCCGTCCACCAGATGTTTCTGCACCGCCAAGGCAAAGTCTTCAAATCCTGTCATCGGCCATGACCAGTCAACACCAGGGATCTCCCGACGCTTCTCACCTATCCTCCTGGCCCATGCTTCGACATCTTCTACTGTCCATAGAATTGGCGACAGGTTGTGAAGGGCAAAGGAATCGCTGATAGAATGTCCAGCATGCGAATTTCCCTGCTTCCGTGCGAGTATCCAGGAACCAAAGTAAACGATTAGAAGGAGGGCAAGGATGATGAGGGGGAGGGCTAGTTTGATATCCAACAACACAACTGTTCGGTTCTTGTGCTTGCGGAAGCCGAAGATCTGGACCAGCACATGTCAGCCTCCGCAGGCCTTCACACGCTCGCCTCTGATCTATCTTCGACTCGTTCTAGGCTGACGGCATGGCAGAGACGAAAGCAGGTACATTCGCAAACCATCTCCTCTCTCCCTCATCGATGCTCTTCCTCTACTCGCGCCGGAACGTACCGGCACAGCCGACGCCATGGTTCCTACGAAGCGCCTCAACCCTACTGACCGCCACTGACCGCCTGAAAAAGCTGACGGGGACTGAGCTGGATGATTTGCCTGTGAGAAGTGACCGGGGGGTGGCCGCGGGTGCCGCCGGCCTGGCCGGCCCGCCGGCCGGGCGGGGTTGACGCCGGACGGCCGGGCCGCGGGCTCAGTCTCACGAGTCCGTTAGGCTGAGCCGCATCTGGGACGATGCCGCAGTGCCATCATAGTACTGTGACTGCCGCACTGGCGGTGACCAACTGCCAAAGACTGTTTACATTTGAGAACCAGGCTGAAAATTTTCTACGATAGTTTACAAATCCTAGCCTGACAGTTCAGTACTAAAAAGTTCAGCTGAAAGCCTTAAAGATCCTTCTTTTCAGCCAGCAAGAGTCTTCGAGCCATGCGATGGAGAACTCGCCATGCTGTTTTCAGGCAGCAAAGAATCCGGATGGACCACGTCCCGGCTCCAAGAGTCGACAACAGGATGGATTCTATCTTCGCCCTACGGATACCACTCCACCTGCCAAGTGAGTTAGCAGACATTGAAGTACTCAAGAATGAATCAAACCGTCGCGTGCTTTCTGCCGCCTTACCCTCTGGATGCTCGTACATGGATTGGTATGGTTCTGCAGGAAATCAATTGTGAGAAAAGCACTTGAAAGCGAATTCGGAGAAGACAGCGTTCGAGATCGACTTACCTTCAATTCTGTTCGTACAGACTGTCAATGCGGGAGCCTTCTGCACACCGCCAGCTGTAGGAGGGACTTCGACCGGAGATACCCTTCGATTCATAAGTGCATCGGTTTCAATCTGGAGAGTGCCCCCATATCTGGTTTCTATCTCGTTCACCTCAAAGAATCTTGGGAGCTCCTTCTCGATCTCATGGTTGCGCAGGAAAATCAATTTCGACTTGGTCTCCTCGCTCAGCAACGGCTTCCCGAATTCAAACAACTGCTTCGTCACCCAGTTCACAGGGAAAACAAAACAGCGAATCAAGTTCTCAGGATAGTTTTGTTGCAGTGTTCCCACGAATTCCAAGAAACAGAGGTTCTCAAACGTCGAAAGGCTTGTCCCAGTGCAATCGAAGAGAAAGTTGATCCCATCAGCGTCGGGATTGACAGCCCTTGCTCTCTCGATCATACAGATGAGATATCTTGCAACCCTCTCCGGTTTCCGACCCTTAGCCTTGGCAATGTGCCAAGTACAGCTGGGTCGGTTGCACCTGTCCAGCCCGCTGACGTACAAGTCTCTGTCTGCATCAAAATCCTCCCAGTCTTCGTTTTGGATATCGTTGATACCTTCATCGTATCTCCACCGGAGGTGCTTCAACAAGCGCTCGGTTGTCTGCTGAACGTCCATCGGAGGCTTGCTGCTACGCAGCCATCGCAGGACGAAGGCTTTCCGACGAATCATCTCTTCACTTGCCCTCACATGCAGACGATGAGGCAACATGTCCATTCCTAACAAGTTGTCCCGTACCGTCTCCCACGTTTGTGGTGCAGCGGATTCGTATTGTTCATGGCTAAGATGCATACTCGAGGAGCATTTTGATTCACTTAGGCTAGCAGTCAGAAGCGAACCGTTCGATGCCTCAACAGGCCTTGTCGGGCTCCCTTCTTCTGGTAAACTCGTCAAGTCAAACTCCGGCTCATTCTTGAAAATATTAACTAAGTGCCCGGACAATTGTTCCGAGGATTGTCTAATGGCATCCATGGCAGTTGAGGTATTCTGTACAATAGCATCAACAATATCGTCCCGAGCCTTAGAGTTCTTCAGTTCTTCCTTTGAAGAACCATCGATGGAATGATGCTTTTCGCGCATTCCCCGAAATATATGATCTAGGAATTGATTTTGTATTGTTGGTTGATTCAACCCACATCTGACGCAAAGAGCGTCGTCCCAATATGGAAGACATTTTGCATATCCACCGCACTGTTCGACATTGTCGCAGGGGCAGCAGGTCTTTCCACAACTGAAGCATCTGAAGGAATTCTTTCGCAGCAGCCTTCGCTCCTGAAAGAGGTGCATGGAATATCGATGGCACCAAGAGCACACCGCCTCGCTCAGAATCTCAACTTGTTCATCAGCTTGGGCGGGGTTGATCTCCATTGTTTTGTCTTCGTGAGCAAACTCCATCCCTCTCCCCTCCATGCTCCCTATCTCTTCTCCAACGAGCATTCCCATTCCCTGACGACTGCTAGCCCACCCCTTTACCGCTACCCACCCCACCCTGCACCCCACCCTCTTCAATTCTGACCGCCCCCTTGTCACCGTCCCATTACATATCAGAGTACCCCTACTTTTCCTTACACAACAGCAGACTACCCCTCCCATCCACGGTCCAAACTCCGAGGCTGTGAGGCATGTTCCGCATGACACCGACCTCTTCCACTACCCCTCACCCCCAGTTTCCCCTTCTACTACCCCTCTATCCCGTCCCCCCCAGAGACTCGCTACACCTTCAACCCATTCCTCATAGACTCAAAAGTACCCCTCGAGACAGCCATATATTCGCCACCGCTGTCAATTTCGAAGCATGGGACTAAACTTTCTTGTTCAAATTTAAACATTCAGAAGTAAACTTCTGAGACTCATAAAAACAACTACACCCGGTGGTGCTCTCCCCTAGACTTTACTCAAAGTTAAGTTAAAAATCCGATGATTCACCGACAGCGGCCGCGCCGGGCCCGGGCCGCGCCCGGGCCGGCCCGGGCCGCGCCCGGTGCTGAGGGCCGATCACTACGGGCGGCGGCGGAGGCGGCGGCGGGCCGCACACCGTGCCGTACCGTACGGTGGTACGGTACGGTACTCTATACTGGATCTTTAACTTAACTTTGAGTAAAGGACGGTATCAGTGGTTCGCCGTTGCACCGGGCCGCGGTTGCCAGAGTGGCGCGGCTTGGTCCGACCGGATCGGACTCAGTCGAACCGCCGGGGGGCCCGGGGAGCCTGAGTCTCGCTCCGGGATCAAAGTTCTCAGCCTGGCCCGGCTGACCCGGCCTCACTGACAAACCGACTGCCTCGTGTGACAGGCTGAGTGAGTGGTGACCGCGGCCGGGGTGGCACTGCACTAGCACTAGGGCCGCCTCTTTACTCAAAGGGCCACTCCGAGTGGCTCGGACCGTGAACCGCAGGGCCCACTGAGAGTCACTGAGGCGGCGGCACGGCGCCGGGCGCCGCGGCCGCGGGGGCGGCACGGCGTCTGGAAATTTCGTCTGGTATCACCCCCTGCTTCTCCTCAAATGGTGTAATGGTGGGTGGGGTGGGGTAATCATACCTGATGGTTACAGGCTAAAACTATTCTTTTAGAGAAACCATACAGTACCCCATGTTTTCTCATTTGAATGTAGGGTAAGGCAAATGTCAGCATGGATGCGAGTAACATCATCCGTGCAGGTGCTGACATTCGATGTGACAACACGGATCTGTCACGAATCGACGCGCTCCACTCGTCGCAAGGTACTGGAAATTTTATGTCAGCAGCTATACGACATGACGGAGGCTGACTCCGGTACGCGCGGCAGGTCATGGGAAATCATCTCGTGTCGAATTGAGAGATCTCTTTAATTATTTACAATTCATCACATATTTTGAAAGCAAAGGAGAGATATGTTTGAAAATTTGGAAAGATCTGGTTGTACCAGCTTGTGGATTGCTGGTACCGTCCGCCTCCTTCCTTTTCACAGTCTAATTCTTTGATTCATATTTGAACTTTCTGATTCAATTTTCAATTATTGTACAAGAAAATTTGAACCATGTGTTTCGTCATGCCTGGCTTTACCCTTGCACCTGCGCGGAAATAACAACGGTTCAAAGACACTTCCTGAAAGGAAGCGATGTCTATCCATAAAGCACTTTTTCGATGTGCCTGCCGACTTCGGCATGCTTTCTCGATGATTCTGTCCGCTTCAAGCAAAAAATCAAAAAGTCGAAACAATGCATTAGCGGATCGATTCAGCTTTCATTCCATTGAAACCATCAAGGAACCGTCGCTATGTAGGGTGGGAGTAACGTGATGCCGGCTAAATGATTGTTGCTTGTCCACGTACCCCTCACGGACCGCCTGGACACATGACTCCGTGCCGGCCTGTAAGGGAGTGGGCGGGCAGGGGGGCGGGTGGGGAGGGAGGGTGGAAGTTCCTCTAGGGTGCACAAAGTAGAGGGTGGGTCATGAGAATTGAAGGGGTGGGGGGTTTACAGTCGCTTGTTGAACAGCTTGATTCGCACGATGAACGGTCGATACAGGTAGGTAGGGGTACAAGGATACATATCATGGCTTATCATA